CGACAAGTCATAGTGATGTACCGGATTAGATGTTCATTTCACAGGAACCAGAGGAAGACAACATGACATTTTTTACTGTGGCATTGAGTGAATGTATGGTGTTATTGGGTGATGGTCATCATGCCTAAACAGTGCTTCCTGATACTCACTCACTCACTAACTCACTCTAAACCAAAGTCAATTGTCCTTTACTATCCTCCCTTGTATATGGGATGACATGGTGTAAAGGGCATTGATGCCTTCTGTGGTTTTCTAATCTTGTGACCTCTAAGTCTTTATCTTATAAGATGTGAGTTAAAACAAGGAACCAATCACTTTGTTGCTGACTTTGACAACAGAAAGAGTGCTAGTTAACACAGATGTCCTAGATTGACAGGTCTAGTGTTATGGCCATTGGATCAGGAAGTATTCTTTATGAATATCATCAACCTGATCCGAAGTGGGACAGGATTGTTGTGAGATGGCTCACATTATGAAGATTAAGTGTATTATGTTCTGTATATCTCTCAAGAGTGAGTGAGTGAATTTAGGTTAGCACTGCACCAACAGCGTTTCAGTTTGCTGTAATAAACACAACTAGAGCTTAGAATAGGACCAAGTATCCTGTGCATCTTAAGAAAGGTGATGTAATAGGGTCGGTGGTCAGTAGGCTTTGTCTTGCAATTGTCAGGATCTCTGGATCGCCTGGTCCGAACTCTTCTATAGACACACCTCCATCATACATGTGGTTGCTCAGTGTCAAGTGCAAGGAAACACAAACTTAAAAGCAAAATTTAGGCATGTCAGTTAAGAGGAGTTAAAGCATTATCCGTTTTCCATCTATAAGTCTTTAACTTTTTATCCATGACAAAATAGAACATTTATGTCTTAGTTATTCATGACATATAATATACAACTGTGCTAAAAAACATATAAACAAAATTATCAAGCTTTAATGCAGCACACAAAATTGCGTACTTCGGTACTTCAAAAAAGCGAAGCAGCCGGGATGTGAACCCAGTCAAGTGAGTGTGTAGCTCAAGGACCAGATTCATGCATCCACGGCTCTGTTGAAACATATAGAGATGTTGGGTTTGTAAATACATATTTTTGTGTATCAATCTCAACAGACATCATGAATGTGTGGGTATCACACCTGCCTGTCTGTGCATATAATGTGAGAGACCTAATCTGTTGCCAAACAATGGGTTTTGTTTATGGTGTATAGCCGATCATCTGTTGTTCAAATTGCATGTGGTCAGTGATTTGTGGTATTGAATATTGTCAGATCAATCACACAGGTGTTGAAAACAAGACATTGAGTTTTGTTTGTGACAGTAGATCATATCTGTTGAAATTCTGGGTTTAAATAATGACATATGCTTTTAAGCATCGAACTGAATGACTGTTGAAGTGTGGGTTTTGTGAAATAGACAAATAAATTATATAAACAGTTAATTTACTGTCATAAATATAAAGTGGGCTTTGTGAGATATCAACAAAACATTAGAAAAATAGCTCATCAAAGCCTTCACCGAAGTATTCACCCGACAACCCGCGCTTCAAAACCTATTTCACTGGCGTGCTATTTTGTGGCATATTGTCGATCAATCTGTTGAAGTGTGGGGAAAATTTTTTGAACTCGATTTAGCATTTTTAATTTATAAGATTTGCATTTTGACGACGTTTCGAAGTCCAAACCGAAGGTATCAGAATCTGAAAAGTTGTGTTTTGTGCTGCATACGTGACTTTTAGATCCAATCTGTTGGGACATGTTGTCATCTTTAATGCAGCACACTTCGATACTTCAGCAGTATGTGATTAAGTGAGTCTGGACCAGATCATGCATCAATCTGTTAAAACATGGGTTTTGTGGCATATTGTAGATCAATCTGTTAAAACATGGGTTTTGTGGCATATTGTAGATCAATCTGTTGAAGTGTGGGTTTTGTGGCATATTGTAGATCAATCTGTTGAAACATGGGTTTTGTGGCATATTGTAGATCAATCTGTTGAAGTGTGGGTTTTGTGGCATATTGTAGATCAATCTGTTGAAACATGGGTTTTGTGGCATATTGTCGATCAATCTGTTAAAACATGGGTTTTGTGGCATATTGTAGATCAATCTGTTAAAACATGGGTTTTGTGGCATATTGTAGATCAATCTGTTAAAACATGGGTTTTGTGGCATATTGTAGATCAATCTGTTGAAACATGGATTTTGGGTTTTGTGGCATATTGTAGATCAATCTGTTGAAACATGGGTTTTGTGGCATATTGTAGATCAATCTGTTGAAGTGTGGGTTTTGTGGCATATTGTAGATCAATCTGTTGAAACATGGGTTTTGTGGCATATTGTCGATCAATCTGTTGAAGTGTGGGTTTTGTGGCATATTGTCGATCAATCTGTTGAAGTGTGGGTTTTGTGGCATGTTGTAGATCAATCTGTTGAAGTGTGGGTTTTGTGGCATATTGTCGATCAATCTGTTGAAGTGTGGGTTTTGTGGCATATTGTCGATCAATCTGTTGAAACATGGGTTTTGTGGCATATTGTCGATCAATCTGTTGAAGTGTGGGTTTTGTGGCATATTGTCGATCAATCTGTTGAAGTGTGGGCTTTGTGGCATATTGTCGATTAATCTGTTGAAGTGTGGGTTTTGTGGCATATTGTAGATCAATCTGTTGAAGTGTGGGCTTTGTGGCATATTGTAGATCAATCTGTTGAAGTGTGGGTTTTGAGGCATGCATGCAGTACTGGAAACATCCTAAAAACCAACCCACTGATTCTAATGCCCGTGTCCTACACAGTGTCTCTTCGCAGAGTTAGTTTCTCCAGGATCAACGGTTCCGGTAACAAGTTGTTCAGGGAAGTACGATGAGCAGAGGGTGTTTGGATACATGATGGGTGTACAATACCTTGAAGCATGTGTACTTCCGTCAAGTTCGACTTGACACACTATATTCCAACAGGCATTCAGATGTTGCCTCAGTGTTTGTGTGTAATCACACTGATGTAGGTCATTCATGAGGTACAGTTTGTTTGATGCAAACAATTTGTAACTTGTTTCAATAAAATAAGGAAGGTGTTTTTGAAAATCACCCATTGGCAAACAAGAGGCAAACATATGAAATATGAAAAAACAGACGTGTTGATAGAAGCAGACAACCTCAGACACTTTGTCGTGCTGACCCATGTCACATTTACATATGTCCCGTATTTGTCCTTAACAGAGCTACAGATAACATGTTGGGTTACTGAGTTATGTACTCGCTTGTGTTCATCTCAGTTGGGTATCCTAAGTTTCCAAATGAATTGTACCCATCTCACTCAAACTCAATTGGGTATTTTGCCATTTTCCATTAATTGTAAAACATAATAAGGCCAGACCAATTTTATTTCTTGTTTTACGGATCCCCCGGTCGTATTTATTCAAGAATAAGAAAAAAAATAAAACTTAATTTTCTCCGCTCAAAAAATAAAATCCTTATGTTTTTATTGGCAAAAATGTAAACTTGCAAGAAAAATTGTTTTTTAGTTGCTTTTTGACCCATATACACTGCATAAATTGCCAGAAGAAAAATACTTTTAATATTTAGAAGGAATGTTACTTTGACTGGTGATTTTATTTTTATATTTTTTCCCCTCCTGCATTTAGGTTTTTTGAGGACAACAATCCGTAAAACAAGAAATAAAATTGGTCTAGCCTAAAGTTTAAATGTTATTTATATTGGATCTGTAATATGAGAAACAATAAGAAAGACTGCAAGTTGCCAAGTTCATGTTGAAATGGACTTCTCAGTCTCACTACACCTCAGTTATCTCGGCACCGGTACGCAAGCTAAGATTTGACATTTGTGTGTGTACACATGTAAGATTAAATTTATTGAGTATTTACAAAAATTCAAGCGTATGCCAACTGTTGTAACGGTAGGTAGGGTACTCTCGAGGCTTGGAAATGCACTATATGTTGAATTGGGTAGTGATGACATGAAACCCCCTGTCAGACATACTTGCATGTTAATAATGTTGCATCCTTTCGGTAACAGTGGGAGATGCTGTAGGGATTTCTAATGTCCAGTTGATAGGGAAGTGTTGTCGATAATAAATTTAAATGATGAAAATATTACATTACATTTCAAATTGATTATCTGAAGCACTCTTCCTTTCAGTTTTAAGAGGTCTAGGGGTAGCCTAGTGGTTAAAACGTTCGCCAAACATCTGGGTTCGATTCCCCCCATGGGTACAATGTGTGAAGCCCGTTTCTGGTGTCCCCTGCCATGATATTGCTGGAATACTGCTAAAGGCCATAAAAAACTAAAGTCACTCACTCTCACACTTTCAGTTTTAACCTGAGATCTATTACCATATAGTTTCAGAAACAGAGATGTGATTATTGGAGCATAAGTTATGACCTTGGGTTGGTTTGTTTTTTCAAGATTCCAACCAGAAAGTCCAAGTTTCATATACTGTATTTCCTCTATCGGATACCCACCTCAGTCCGTCGCCACTGATATTGGGTCCTGCATCTGCCCTGAACTAGAAGCATGGTCTCTAATAGAGGCTGAGTCCACCTTTGTTGAAAATATTTATTCACTTTGAATTAACCTGGAACAGGTAAAGATTACATTCTTGACTTAATAGTGACCATTATCTTCAGGTGTACCCTTTTTATGACTGTAAAACCGGGGCACAGTCAGAGATAAGTTGCCTCTGTACCTGTTGTTGAATGGGATCAGGGTCAACCAGGCGTGGGGTCAACACCTAAGTATAACAGTGTCTGACAACAGAAATATGGTAGGCATGGGTTTATAGTTTTGCAAACTTTGATATGTCATGGCGATACTTGAACCCATGCTTGTCTCATGATTTTCAACATTTCCAATAATTCATCTGAAACTGAACTACCAAGATGATGATGGATAAGTCACGTAATGTTTATTCTCATGTAACGCAATGTTTCTGTAAATTTTCACACCAGGAAGGACGCAGGAAGTGACTGAACAAGGTGCATTTGTTTCAGGGAAATGATTGACATGTGTTCATCCAGCGTTCCACAAGATGGCTAGCATGGGGATCCCCAGCCCAAAGGAACAAATAGGTACGTGTTATTTACTGTGTTGAAGATGGTTGCAATGCTACAGTGTCAAAACTATTACACTTACATACTGACAGGAATATTTGTTGGGAGTTGAGGAAGGGGTTTCGAGGGGAGGGCAGTCAGAGATATCTCAGCTGTATGTTTATAACCAGGAAATACATGAGTCTTGACCAGATAATCTAGTGATAAATAATGTACACAGGAATCCACACCATTGTACGGCACGATGCCATCAAACGTCGCAAGGGTGTCCACCGATTCCATCAGCAAGTCATCTGTGTAGGATATCGCCACGAGTTTCAAAAGAGTCTTGGCTCTGTTCTAATTGTAAGTGTTTTCCTTGCAGCCTGCCAGCTCCTGCTGAAGCAGCCGGAGTGCAGACACAGCTCCTGGCTACGTAAACAGAGCTTCAGAAATAAGGTGCAACTTTTCCGATGTGAGTAGCGTCACCATTGTCCTGTTGGTCTGGGAGTTGTTTAAAATAACTAATCTGTCAAGGTCTAGAAAAAATCGGTAACTGGTGTGGTGACATGCATCTGGCAGCTGTGGCTTTGTTGGTCTGTTGGTGTTGTTGAAGACTTCTTTCATTTTGATGTTAGTAAGAGTCCTTGTTTCAGCATGAAAAAATATTTTATCCTTAAAATTTTAAAAGAAAATGTAGAAAACATCCATGTGCAGATAAAAAACATTGGCCTAGATTTTCGAAGCTCTCTTAGCGCTAAGATAGTCGTAAGTGCCATACATTAACCTTAATTTACGACTATCTTAGCGCTAAGAGAGTTTCGAAAATCTAGGCCATTGTCTTTAAGTAGACTAGTCTCTAAAGATGAGAATTTTGAAAGCAACAAACAATTCCATTTTAAACTGAAATGTAAACCACTGGAGATTCAGAACCTGTGGAAATCTATCTGTAGCACCACAGGGGAAGTACAATGGTTCTGGGACCGTGAGATAGACAAGACTTGAATAAGTGACTGAAAGAAAGAGTCTGTTTAAAACAAAAATCCCAACCTTAAGCCACCTATCCATCCACTACCCCTCATATCCCCCCACAACCCTGCCCAGCCCCAGTTCAATGCAGTAATGTTGATCTATATTAGATCACCTTCAAATGTCGATTGGTCTTGTTATCACTCAAATACAAGTCACATCTATAACATGAAAACATGTGTTGTAGCTAAATTAGCATGAACAGGAAATTTTTCCACCCGAGTGGGCAACTTTGGCCAACATTTCCTACAGACTTGAGGCTGAATATATCGTTTTGATAACTTCCTGAAAGATATCAACCACTGCGATAGTCTAATAGATCCCTGATTGAATATCAACCTGTGCACTGGTCATTATGAATCGCTGAGTCTATGTTAGTCTCTGTGTTAGTCTTGTTCTTAGTCTGTCTCACAGTCCCTGAACCACATTATTTCCCTAATGCCTAGCCCTCCCTGCAATGCTTAAGCCCTAAATGAAGCAAGTCTAGATTTCCTCAGGTTCTGTATCTCTGGTCTCCCTGGGGCCTCTTTTCAATTTAAATGGGTTTATTTGTTACAATCAAAATTATTTATATATTCAGAGACTAAGCGTTAGTCTAGTCTTGATCCCTATATGAATACCAGCCACAGGGATAGTGTTGAAATATCCCAAATGGATATGTAAATGAGATTCTGTGGTCAGCCATGTTTTGTGTGATCTGAAAAATATGTAAGCAGTATCATTCATGTGTTTGGAAAGTGATGTTGATCTGAATTATCTAAAAAGTCTGGCATGTTATCAGTCTGAGTGCAGCCCACTGTAACTTGACGATGCCCTCGCCTGTCTTTACAAACATGGTGTCTGACTGTATCAGAACACCTGTCTACTGGGCCGACTCCATTGTATCAAATAGCATAATCTCAGCAGGTGATATGGGTCAATGAAATGATTTAAACAGTATTTCATTTCCATTAATGTTTACATTTTTCACAATACATGACATAACAAAATGGAAATAGGATTAGCAAACAGGCCATATGGCCTATGTCAATGCTTCTCCGCATATAGTTCATTATTACCTTGACATAATTCTATGGAGCAGACATTAGGACATTAATGAATGAATCAAAACAAAATAAAAATAAAGAAAAGAAAATAAAGAAGAAGATACCAAGTGCATTTTATGAACAGATACTAAAGTAGTCATTTTATGTTCTACTCAGTATAGTAGGGTAGCGAATTCTGAGGCTATTTGAATTCTGGGTTCTTATTTGAATTCGGTTAGTTTCGGTTAGTTATATATATAATTCTGTCACGGATTTTATAAGGTTTTCATTGTCTAAAGGAGATAAATCGTCATTGCCATGAAGTATAGTATATATGCTGAGGTGGTTAAGGACAAAGTATTTGTCGAGTCTAAACTGGGCATAGCGGGGACATGACAGAAAAAAATGGATAGCATCTTCTCTGTTGTGGCCACATGAACAAGTGGGATCATCAATCAGGAATCTGTCAAATAAGTGTGCTTTTAAATCACTACAACCTAGCCTAATTCTGGATAGGATCACTTGGTATTGTCGCTGGCCATAACTGGCAATGTATATAAAATTTGAAGAAATCTGAATGTCTGTTGAAATCAATTGTTTAAACCTAGATAGGGAATCTACATTTCTGATATTGATATCAAGTGCATTCCATGCTTTAACAACAGAAGGCAGGAAAGATCGGTTATACTGGGATAAGCCCTGCATTTGTCTGAAAGTCGTTGGAGTTACGAAGGTTGTATCCTGTTATGCTGGAGATACTAGGTGGGAACCATAATGATAGGTATTTAGGAGTCAGCCCATTGACCATTTTGTAATATATACATAATTTATGATAATGTCGTCTGTCAGACAATGAGCAATAACCCGTTTCCCTGTAAAGCTTTTCGTGACTAGTTCCTCGTACTGCTCCACATATTGTTCGAAGAGCATCCAAGTGTAGGTTTTCTAGCATTTTTACTTGTTCTTTGTTACAATTATCCCAAATGTTATCGCAGTAGTCAAATATGGGTAAGATAAAAGATTTGTACATAATTTCAAGCGTTCTTCGATTTCACCTGTATTTTAGACTACGCAAGCAATTAATTAGTGGCTCACTTTACGGACAAGATAATCAATATGTTTGTGCCATTTTCCATCTTCCTGAAGGTGTTTATGATCACTTACTTCAGGTATAAGAACATCATTCATTCGAAGAGGTAATTTAGGACTAGAATTAATTTTAGTCGAAAATAGCATGGCTTCAGTTTTGGTAGGACTAAATTTCACTTGCCATTTATCAGCCAAGTCTGTTATACGTTCTAAGTCACTGTTATGAAATACATATATTCATAAGAAAACAGAAGGATGGTAAACACCTGATTTATTGCAGATTGAGGTTAAAGCCAACACTCAGCTAGGTACAGTTTAGACAGTATTCTCCCCAGGGAGTTGAGATTGATAATACAATGTGCCGTTTGAGTTTGACATCCAATGATAAAGGGAAAATCAAAGCACCTTTGAGCAGCTGAGCTGGATGTTGGCTCTATACAAATGTTGCTATAATATTAAAAAATAAAAAAATATTCTGACAGGTGCCAATCATTTGGGCATCAGTTATGAGTAATATCAGTGAAGTAATATTCAGTTTGCTTACAGAACTGTTACCTCCGAGATTGTGATTCTGTGATTGTTTGCTTTCTGTGTTAAAGGTCACATGCAACGTAAAACACAACTTTGCAGATTCATCAAAACAAATCATCAAAAATGCAAATTCAGCTTATAAAGTTGAACAATAACGCAATGAAAATAACCGCGCGAAATCAGAGTTCAAACGATTCACTAATTTTCCCCCAGCACTTGGGGAAAAAGTGGTTTCAACAGCTGGGCTGCGCTGCGCTCATAGCACATGCGCAGTGAAATAGGTTCGCGCAGCTTGGAAGCGGGTTGTCCGGTAAATACTCGGTGAAGGCTTTGGTGTGAGCTATTTTTCTAATGTTTTGTTGATATTTCACAGGCACGAGCTTATTATATGTTATGACAGTAGATTACCGATTTAACTGTTTATATACTTTCATTTGTCTATTTCACCACACGTTCTTCTTACCGAGTCACTTTCTCAGTTCGATACTTAAAAGCAATGTCATTATTTAGCTTTGACAGAATTTCTAACTGTGATATAGATATGTCGTTGTCACAGACAAAACTCAATGTCTGTTTTATTGACACCTATGTGTCTGCCTGCCTGTCTGCTAATGACAATATTCAATACACAACCGCGATCACTGACCACATGCTATCAGGCTATACACCATAAACAAAACGCATTGATTTATGGCCGGAGTTCTGTCCCTGTCACATTATGTAATTACACTGACGGGCAGGTGTGATACTTTTACACATGACATGTTATGATGTCTGTTATACACAAAAAATGAGCATGTATTTATAAAACCCAACATCTCCATATAAACACACACAATGAGCCGTGAGGGCATCTGCAAATGAACCAGCCATTACACTTGAGTGCACTCCCACCCACTCTGACTGGGTTCGCTATCCCGGCTGCTTCGTTTCTAGGGAAGTAAACCCAAGTACAAAATATTGCACTTTTGATTTGCGATTGTATGCTTATAATTTTGTTTATATGTTTTTTCATAATCAGCAATGTATATTATATGTCATGAATACGTGATAATTGTGTTGTAATTATGTATGATTTTTTGGTTTCGTGTGACCTTTAATGAAAGAACCCACATGTTTCTGACATAATGTGATATTGCTGGATAACTAGAACCAAGCATTAAACCCAAGTCCCTCATTCACTGAAGCTTGTTCCAGGGCCCCAGGTGTTTGTTGTGCTGAGTGGGGGCTGTCTGTACTACTACCGGAATGAGACGGCCAAGACCCCGGCAGGATCCTTCTCCTTATATGGGTACAATAGGTAGGTGTCAACCAGTGTAAGGACAGCCCTTATATGGGTACAATAGGTTGGTGTCGACCAGTGTAAGGACAGCCTTTATATGGGTACAATAGGTAGGTGTCGACCAGTGTAAGGACAGCCTTTATATGGGTACAATAGGTAGGTGTCGACCAGTGTAAGGGCAGCCCTTATATGGGTACAATAGGTAGGTGTCAACCAGTGTGAGGGCAGCCTTTATATGGGTACAATAGGTAGGTGTCGACCAGTGTAAGGACAGCCTTTATATGGGTACAATAGGTAGGTGTCGACCAGTGTAAGGGCAGCCCTCATATGGGTACAATAGGTAGGTGTCAACCAGTGTAAGGGCAGCCTTTATATGGGTACAATAGTTAGGTGTCCACCAGTAACCAGTGTAAGGACAGCCCTTATATGGGTACAATAGGTAGGTGTCGACCAGTGTAAGGGCAGCCTTTATATGGGTAGGTGTCAACCAGTGTAAGGGCCCCCTATATGGGTACAACAGGTAGGTGTCGTGTAAGGGCAGCCTTTATATGGGTACAATAGGTAGGTGTCAACCAGTGTAAGGGCAGCCTTTATATGGGTACAATAGGTAGGTGTAAGGGCAGCCTTTATATGGGTACAATAGGTAGGTGTCGACCAGTGTAAGGACAGCCTTTATATGGGTAAAATAGGTAGGTGTCGACCAGTGTAAGGGCAGCCCTTATATGGGTACAATAGTTAGGTGTCGACCAGTGTACGGCAGCCTTTATATGGGTACAATAGGTAGGTGTCGACCAGTGTAAGGGCAGCCTTTATATGGGTACAATAGGTAGGTGTCGACCAGTGTAAGGGCAGCCCTTATTTTGGTACAATAGTTAGGTGTCAACCAGTGTAAGGACAGCCCTTATATGGGTAGAACAGGTAGGTGTCAACCAGTGTAAGGACAGCCTTTATATGGGTACAACATGTAGGTGTCAACCAGTGTAAGGGCAGCCTTTATATGGGTACAATAGGTAGGTGTCAACCAGTGTAAGGGCAGCCTTTATATGGGTACAACAGGTAGGTGTCAACCAGTGTAAGGGCAGCCTTTATATGGGTACAATAGGTAGGTGTCAACCAGTGTAAGGGCAGCCTTTATATGGGTACAACAGGTAGGTGTCGCCAGTGTACCAGTGTAAGGGCAGCCTTTATATGGGTACAACAGGTAGGTGTCAACCAGTGTAAGGGCAGCCTTTATATGGGTACAACAGGTAGGTGTCAACCAGTGTAAGGGCAGCCTTTATATGGGTACAACAGGTAGGTGTCGACCAGTGTAAGGGCAGCCCTTATATGGGTACAATAGTTAGGTGTCGACCAGTGTAAGGACAGCCCTTATATGGGTACAACAGGTAGGTGTCGACCAGTGTAAGGGCAGCCTTTATATGGGTACAATAGGTAGGTGTCGACCAGTGTAAGGACAGCCTTTATATGGGTACAACAGGTTGGTGCCAACCAGTGTAAGGGCAGCCTTTATATGGGTACAATAGGTAGGTGTCGACCAGTGTAAGGGCAGCCCTTATATGGGTACAATAGTTAGGTGTCAACCAGTGTAAGGACAGCCCTTATATGGGTAGAACAGGTAGGTGTCAACCAGTGTAAGGACAGCTTTTATATGGGTACAACAGGTAGGTGTCGACCAGTGTAAGGGCAGCCTTTATATGGGTACAACAGGTAGGTGTCAACCAGTGTAAGGACAGCCCTTATATGGGTACAACAGGTAGGTGTCAACCAGTGTAAGGGCACCCCTTATATAGGTACAGTAGGTAGGTGTCGACCAGTGTAAGGACAGTGTGCTACAAGGTGTAGCTAAGGGCAGTGTGTTACAAGGTGTAGCTGATAAAAACGAAACAGTGTAGCATGGCCCCATGTCGGATCATAACATTAGTTTGTTAATCCTTGATTACATTTATTAAGGATCTTTGAAATTTATTTATTAATCATGAGGAATTTTTTATGTTAGTACTGATCTAATGTTAGAAAACTGAACAATTTGGCGAAGTTATTTTACTGACAATGACCTTGTATGTTGCATCATCAAAATTGATCTTTCTTGTTATAGTATAGGCAGCTTTGGGGAAAAAGTGCTTATTTAAGGCGCTGAAGGCAAATCGTGTTAATTTTTGGCATACAAGCTTTTAAGGGGTATTGAGGGGTCCTGAATCCAAATATGCTGTATGCCAAGCTCAAAAATGCCCCATAATGCCTCAAAATGCAGAAATCCAAGATGGCCGCCAACACCAGACTGAAACGTGAAAACTAACATATCACTTTCATTAATCAAGTTAGAAAGTTGAAAAATGCTTATTTGAATGTTTTCACATATGGGGAATGCAATGCAATACTCAGTTTTGTGATTAAATTGGAAGAAAATGATTGATTTGCATACCTACTGCAAAATTTACCTTTTGGAACAATGAACAATGAATGAATTTTGAATATTCAGATGGTCAAAAACCTCGTCCTTCTCCATCCCATTTGATTTAATTCCCCTTTGTTTAAACATGTCAAAGCCAAGGGCGACATATTATGAATGCAATATGAATTTTCACTCAGTATAACAGGGCACTTACAACTAACAATGACACAACTCAAGTGTTTTAAGAACAATATGTCTATTTGTGGAATCACGGCAATGGAAAGAATGCAAATTGTTTAATGCTGTCTGCTGTCTTAGCAGTATACACAGTAAAAGTTGTAACCATTCGCATATTCCCATACATATCTAGTGTTCTGGTAGTTGTTGTTAAGTTTGCTGCGGTTGCAAGCCTTGATGCATTCCTGCAGCTGCAGCGTTGACTGAGGCATCCTTTCATACAAGTGCATGATGTGATCTCCCTGCAAGCTTTTGGGATAGGTGGCAGAGAGAGTAGCCGTGGCACTAAATGACCGTCTTGGTGAACCCACCCCATGTCAGCCACTGGAGGAAGATCTGGATATAGGCTGTGTGCTTGGTTCCAGATACTTGCTTGGTAGTGGGAAAGCATGATGTGGAACCTTGCTGTGTCAGAGGTTGGTGGCAGAGTCTCTTGTACACTGCCACGACAAAACAATTTAACTTGTGCTTTGTTGCATGTATCGACCTCAGGCACGCCATATATTTTACAGTTGAACTTCTCTGTTGATCTAGCTAGGTTTTCAGTGAAAGGGCCCTTTCCAAGTCCAGTGAGATCAGTATGGTGTTGCTGGAACACCTTCCATGCTGTTTTCTTAGTGTGGCCACTGATCTGAGACACACTATCACACCCAGTGATGGCATGGAAAGCAAGTAGTGTATCAACCTGATCTGAAGACAGTTGCCTGTGGATTTCTTGTACTGGGAGATACTTTGGAGCTTTCGATGTCCCAGCTTTCATGTAGAGTTGAGTGCATCTCATTTTGTCATAGTGTGCCAGAAGTAGGAGAAGCACGTCTGTGTCACGCACTGACGTAACAATCGTCTTCATCTGACTATGGATGCAATGCAAAATCAGTGGTGTGTCCGCTTCTTCATAATCAGCTCTCAGAGATGAGACTTCAAGCATCAAGCTCTGGATCAGACCACTTGACTGTAGTCGCCTCAGTTACCCCCCCCCTGCTAGTACAGGTTTGTCTGTTGGGCTGTGTTGAACAAGATGGTTTATCTTCCTCAAGTGCAGCACATCTAGACCAGTCTGATGGGAGATGAACTGACCCACACACTATTTGACGACGTATCTGTCATAGGCGCTGCTTGCGTTTTATTTGGAATCAACATGGTACCTGTCAAATACTATGTCAATTCTCCCATCTTGAACATGGTGTTTGCAAAGGTTCTGGAGTAGTCACCAAATGTTCTTTCCGAGTGCCATCACTAGGGCTTGGCCATCAATGAGCAGGCAGCTGGACTCATCAAGTGTGACATTAGCAGATGTTTGAACTTCTTGCGTCAGTATACTGGCTAACACAGACTTGTTAGTGGAATGTAGGGTACCACTAGTTGTGGCCAATGATAGTGGGGCGGTCATGAGGTCATGCTGTAGGATGTTTTCCAGCTTTACCTCACACCCTGCTCTATAGGCTGCCATGAGCCTTTGTAGAATATTCTGGTCCACTTTGATAGTGCTTTGCTTTCCCTTGGAAGTTTGCATTACGTCATACAAAGAGGAAAATGTCTTGACCTTATTCTTCTGAATAGATGATTTCAGATCCAGGTGCTGGTCACTATCAACAGGCTCACACAGACGTTTGTCCACGAAGACTTCCATTTGCTCCTGTACAAGGTGTTCTGCCCTAAGCAGAGATTGTTGGATCAGTGATGTGGCCACATCCTTGTTGATGATGTTTATCAAGGTGTCACCACCAGTTTGAAACACACCATGTTGTTTCAAAGATACAACTAGTTTGCTTTCGTCAGATTCGTCTTTCTTCATCGTAGTTGTTGCGCTCTCATTGTGTGTGTACTCATCGTCTTCGTCGTCCTTCGTCATTTTCAGCATTTCCTTTGTCTGAGAAGCTATGACTGTTGTGAGATTAAAGACAACGTCCATCTGCTAAGGGCTGATGGTATTCTTGTGATGCCTACTAAGCCTCCACTCCTCTTCCCTGTAGCGTTCAGCCACTCAATACTTTGGTCTGCTGAAACATAATTGAAGCGTCGATCAGTGCGTTTGACTACAAGTTTGTCCATTCTGGAACTCACGGAGCACTTCTGCAGGCAGACATGACTTTTCAGCCAGATATACAGTACCCCATCAGGCAGAGTTCACATGATTGTACCTGAAGACGAATGGCAGCATACGTTTGAAAGCATACAAGTGGACATCCCATAACTCATCACCTGGTGCTCTTGTGAAGCAAAGTAGTAAGATGACCATAGTCATGTAGTCCCACCAGGAGGCAGCATTAGGGTCATCAGCTGCAACACCTGCACTGACCATAGTCATGTAGTCCCACCAGAAGGCAGCATTAGGGTCATCAGCTGCAACACCTGCACTGACCATAGTCATGTAGTCCCACCAGAAGGCAGCATTAGGGTCATCAGCTGCAACACCTGCACTGACCATAGTCATGTAGTCCCACCAGAAGGCAGCATTAGGGTCATCAGCTGCAACACCTGCACTGACCATTCATGTAGTCCCACCAGGAGGCAGCATTAGGGTCATCAGCTGCAACACCTGCACTGACCATAGTCATGTAGTCCCACCAGGAGGCAGCATTAGGGTCATCAGCTGCAACACCTGCACTGACCATAGTCATGTAGTCCCACCAGGAGGCAGCATTAGGGTCATCAGCTGCAACACCTGCACTGACCATAGTCATGTAGTCCCACAAGGAGGCAGCATTAGGGTCATCAGCTGCAACACCTGCCCTGACCACAGTCATGTAGTCCCAC